CAGATGTTTCATTTAGAGCACAGGGGGACTGTTTGAAAAGGTGGAGGAGGGGAATAATATGTCCTCTTTAAAGGTCACATATTATTCCCCATGTTTCTCTAACACTAATATGTGACTCTAGTCTGTCTTCAAACCCCCCAATTATGAGAAAAGTCCATCCTCTCCGTCTTCTGCCTGCTCCACTTTTCAGTAGATGTGTGCTCCATCAGGCCGTTTGGAGATTCAACACCAAAACAAAAGTGGAGCTAGAGGCTTAGAGGTAACACTTCACAGACGTCTGTCATTGAGCTCGTAAGAACTTAATTACAAGCCCAGAGGTCGACATAAGTACAGCTTCTTACATGTAAACGCAGAGTTAACAGCAGATAAATATATACTTGTTAACAATACAGTAATCATCAGACAGTCAGACAGAAGCTACAATCTCTCTTAAATCCCCTCTCTCAGGCGTCCTTTATCTCCACACATACTTTGTTAAACTCATGTCAAAGAGAAACACAAATGCAAGGTGGAAGATGTCACTTTAAAACTTTTAATTTGTGGTGGGAAAAACTCAGATTTCTACTTGATGTGTGCTCTCAAATACGGCTGCACGATACTGCTAAAAACGTACATTGTGATATATTTTCTGTCTGCGAGAAAAGAGAAAATCTAAGCAGATAAGTGCAGTCTGCCTTTTATGCACATATTAGGTTAAAGACTGCGTATTATCTCTAACCGTTTTGATGTCGACCTGCTGTTCATCGTGTTTTATACATGTTTTTTTGTTTTGTTTATTTGTGTTGGCAACACGTCCCCCAAAAATCTGTTTTTTAACCGCTAATTTGGCACCAATTAATCCGAGGGTGGCTTCATCTGTCTGCATCAAAATGTTGATGAAGCATTCTGATTAAACAGGTAAACAGAGATCCTTCTGGCAGGTAAAATGTGAACATACCGAGAGAGAAGACTTTTACAATGAGTTTATTACAGAAGGTCACGCTCAGTCCTGCTCTCAAACCAGCAGAAAATGCTCTAAAAGTTTATTTTAAATATTTCCAGATATCTAAAAAACTTGACTTAGCAGCACATGTATGGGCTTAATTCCCAGATATCATTAAAAAGAAAGATTTTTGGATTAAGAAGAAAGACAGTTGTGTGATTTCATTGTGTGACTTACTCGCTCGTTCATCCGAGACGACTGCGATCGAAGTTCTGAGAAGTCTATAGCTGTGTCGGGAAGAGGCACCATGCCTGCAAATCAACAACACGCGTTAAAAACAAAGTTTAAAATGCTTACTTTTTGGGGCGTTTCAAAAGAAACATGGGTCATCACAGATACTTACCGGGGTCTGAGAAGACGGCTTTAGCGTGACAGGCCAGCAGCAGCAACAGAATCAGGTTAAACACCGACCCGTGGAGAGTACACCACACACTGTGACAGAGAGAGAGCAACATTTATACAACAATTAAACCCTTTATTAAAAATAGATCTGGCTTTTCTTTCAAAGAGATGAGACTCAACTGACAATTATTTTAGTTTAAACTTTGTTGATCAATCAAACAACATGTCCTGTTTTATGGAGGTCACAGTCCTCCAAGCAGGCGGTCGGGTTCAGCTTCTGCCCCGCGAATAATATCCTCAACTCTCTCTCCAAAAAAAGTGGTAAACTAAAACCCCCATGATTCCCCCGCCAGCCTCGACGTCATCTTTTATAATTGTATTGATTGAGATCCCAACAGGGTCCTAAGACGCTGACTAGACTCTTCTCCTCTGTCGCCCCCCGGTGGTGGAATGAACTTCCAAACTCCTCTGCACCTTTAAGAAAAAGCTAAAGACCCAGCTCTTTCATGAATACCTACTAACTTAATGATGATGGTCTCCCTATTATTGATGATGATGATGGTAATGACGATGGTTTCTGTTTGATAACGATGACTTATAAGATGGTTTCTATACTGATTAGAGCTCTCAAGAACTGCCCTCAATGTTGTGCTTTGCCTCTGGTCACTTCCTGTCAGCACCTGTGTGTCCAATCAGACTCAAAGCTGATCGTTTGCTCTTACTCACATTGTTCCCTTTTTTCTAGATCCTTGCTTGTGTTGAACTGACTCTCTGATGTACGTCGCTTTGGATAAAAGCGTCTGCTTAGTGAATTGTAGAATTGTAGACTCCCCCTGGTGGCGGAATTTACACACTGTACCTTTAACATCTTACGCGTGCAAAAACTTTTTCTTTTTTTTTTTACTTTTTGGGACGTCAGCGGAGCACAGCACTTAACAACATTCAGCAAATTAAAAAGTGGCAAAGACAAACTTCCTTTAAAGATGAAGAAACCTCGAGAAGCCATCTGACGAAACTTTGAAAATTATAAAAACAAAAGAATAAATCAAATTTAAAAAAACATGCATGCAAATATGGATAAAATGTAAAATAATAAAAATTAAAAAGCTGTATTCTGTTTACTCTATCAGCTGTGTTTCTGTTGTTCTTGTGTCAGTGGGCTAACAGGACCCTCCTCCTCCTCCTGCAGACAAACAGCTGACTGACACAAACCCCAGCTGGTAAACAAACGGGGGAAAACCACGTTATCTGACTTTCCCTCAACACAACCCCGTAACAAACACCTGTCCCAGTTTAAATCAATGCCTGTTCCTGTCAGAAAAACAAGTTTTGCGCGGATACAGCGGCGTGAGGATGCTGTCAAACCCGTCAAATGAATGGAGGCAGTGCAGAGAGGCAGCCGCCATGTCGGGTTTTTACCGGTTTTAACGACATAAAAACACAAAGTACCGACCTGTCCGAGTAGGCGGGGAGGAGGACATACTGTATGACCACGTAGTCCGCGTAAAACACGCTGAAATAAGTTAAAATGAGACAGATAACGCCGCAGGGGTCTCGCCTACAGCGGAGAGGCGCCATCTTCTGCCGGGCTCCGCCCCCTGTCCCCCCCCCTGCTTCCGGGTGACATCACGCTGAAACACGATGCTGCGTTCCATGACCGTAGGAAATAACGACAGGTTTTTAAAGGGACAGTTCACCTAAATGATTTTCTTTCCACACAAATTAATAAGTGTAAAAAAAAAATGAAATTCCTTTTTGCATTATTGTGTGTGATGTAATTTATAAAAAAATATCTTAACAAAACATATTTTGCCCCTCATTTGATGACGATTCTGATGTCAAGTTGGGAAGTCGGGCGCCTAATTTTTTCCAGAGTTTCCTATTTGTTGTCACGACTCGAGCAGGTGTTCATCATTTGCATTTAAAACCTCGATAAACTATTTTTTCCCGATGTGTCCGACGCCACATAGAATATAATAGAATTACTTTATTGATCCCAAACTGGGAAATTGTGGCGTTACAGCAGCAGGTTGTCCAAACACACAATATAAGCAAATTTAAACACAATATAATATTAAATACAAAGTAAATAAGCACTAAAATGTGAATATATACAACCAGGATTTAACTAAGCATTACTAGTCTTAAATATGAAAGATTAAATGTAAATGTGCAAAAACAGAGTTGTAAATGGACAGTATTGACATAGGGAGCTGTGCAATCAGTGATACATGAATGCACCATAAGACCCTGAAGGTGGGGACTCCAGCTCAATATAACTTTTAAAGGCTCCCATTACGAATTTGAGGTAATTTATATATTTTGTATTTGATTGGCCCGCTGATTAACAGGCGAACAGTCCAGGGTGTGACCCTGCCTCTCGCCCAATGACAGCTGTGAACGGCTCCAGCCCCCCCTGCGAACCCGTGCAGGAAATCACGTTTTTCTTATAACTTGTTAGGTGGGGTTATTTCTGTATGAGATGGACAATTATGAAATGGTGAAACAGACTGTGGATCATCTCAGATTTATTCAGCCATGGTCAGACAACACAGAAACATAACACACATGGCTGACAAAGTGCAGACCATCGCTGACCCATGCTGACCAACATCTCACAATCATTGACAAAGTGGCCATCATGGGCAAAATGGCAAAATGGCAAAATGGCCAAGTGGCAAAGTCTTCATCACACAATGTGGCTTATATTCTGCTAGAAGGTACAGCCCACAAATTCCTTTCCATTTGGGTACATCACTATAAAACAATAAAGATGACATGACACTGATTTGTATACGTATCAGATGTAGACTCTCTGTCTAGCAAACAGTTGTTGACAACATATAGTTGGCTCCTCTCCAAACATAGATCTGCTACAATTTACATGTTTCATCATATAAGGTTACAGCTTCACAGACCCAAAAGTAGAATTACTGTGAGATGGTTGACACAATTTAAAGATATGTCCACAAAATTATCAAGATGAATGAATCCATGAAAATACGTACTAACATAACTTCTTGAGTTTTTTTACACAACCTAAACAGAAACCCAAAAAAAACAAGAAACCTGTAATAAAATAGAAAACATTTGATCTATCTTTATCATTTATCTTTCGTACCGAAGGCCATAACTCTGTACAACAGCTCACCTCATGCGAGCAGAGAACTGTCATCATGATAATATCTGTCTCTCCATACTGTAATCTGTTCTGCACATGATAACATGTCTACACTCATGCACTTTAACTTATGTCAATACTGTCCATTTACAACTCTGTTTTTGCACATTTACATTTAATCTTCATATTTAAGACTAGCAATGTTTAGTTAAATCCTGGTTGTATATATTCCCATTCTTAGTTTTGATATTTTTAGTGCTTATTTACTTTGTATTTAATATTATATTGTGTTTTTTACTCATATTGTGTGTTTGGACAACCTGCTGCTGTAACGCCACAATTTCCCAGTTTGGGATCAATAAAGTCATTCTATTCTCTTCTATTCTATTCTATTCTAAGTACAGCTTACAACCACAAGGTGGCGGTAGACATTTTCCTGCGTGAAGCTGACATTTACACACTTTGTCGCTCCTCCCCTGAAGTAGGCAGCAACCAGCTCGTCACCCTCCTCGTTTTTTTTTTTTTTTTGCTCAACACTTTTTTTTTTTTTTTTTTTTGGTTGCTGCACATTCACAGGACGTGTGTGTCGGGTTTTGTGTGTGTGTGAGTGTGTGTGTGTTTTGTAGTTTGTCCGTGCTGCTCTGTGCACACAAACGTCCCTCTTTTTGTTTTTCATTATCGGATATATAATCAACTTTTTCCTCGACTTCGAAGTTCTTGTTTGGGAGTTTATTCATTGAAGAGGAAGAGGAGATTAAAAAAGACACAAAAAAGAAAGCAGAGAAGAAGAAAGAGAGAAACCTGGAGGTGGAGAAGAAGGGCGTTCATACTAAGAAGTAACCATGGAAGTTCCTGGTATGCAGGTAAGAGGAAAGGTGGACGCCGTGCTGCGTTTGAGGCTCGCTCGGCGTGTGTTGTTTTTTGTCTTTCTTTGATACTTTGTGAGCAAACTAAACGACTTTATCGACATGTGAGGAAGCATTGAGCAACTTCACGCCATTTCCCATATGTTTAAAAAAGTAACAAACCTGCTGTTAATGATGCCTGCATTTCACCTCCATGTTTTTATGATTCCGTCTTCACACTCCGCAAACGAGGAAGGAACACCTTTAGTTGAATTTGACCATAAATGGACTTTTTAAATGCTTCGTTTACACTTTAAAAACAAAGTCTTTGAATCCATCACAACATGAATATTCTCCACAGTCACTAATATGTGACTTTAAGACGCCATGTTGATTTTTAAGGCGTTATTATCTTGTAAAATAAACATCTTTAAAGCTACTGTAGTTCTTTAAAACGCCACTTAAGTGCTCTAAAATTAAAAAGTCTGATATGTAATTCATTTGAATGTAAAACAGACACTCCACACTGTTTTAGTCACACATATTGTGTTTGTGTCTCTTAATATGTCCCAATAATGTGAGTTATTGTGTCACCTAAATAACGTTTGTTTCTCTCTTACTGTGTTTAAATATCTCCAAAATATTTTAAATCAAATCTTTGACAACCAATAGTCTGTCAAGTTCTTAAAACTTGAGTTTAAAGCAACTTTTACATTTACTTTCTGTACGATTCGGTGTTTAAAATGTCCCTAAAATACAGATAAATATGTTTATACAGTCTAATAGTTTACGATATTTATTTAACATGTTTGAGATTTATATTCCTGTGGCTTCAAATACGTTCAGTGTTTTAAAGTGAGCTTAATATTTTTTGTGACTTACAATTCTTGCCTTTTTGTTGCGTTTGAAGCAGAAGTATCGGCTAATATCGGCTGACCGATGAATCAGTTTCGCTCTAGTTTAAATGTCCACATGATAAACCTGAAGTGAGTCATTTTACAGGTCTAAACTAGTTTGTTTTCGAGCTGCATGATTAATTGTAAATTTTAAAAAATCACCATCTCGATTCATTCATGCATACATGGATTCACTTCGTCGCTATCGCTTTGTATTAGCTAGCAAAACAAAGCTACCACTGGAGGCGTCCATGTTGCTTTTCGAACTTTTTGCCAACTCGCAACTGAAACGCGGTCAACTTGGGTATGACGTCATTTCACAGCTCAGAGATCTGAGTTTGAAGGCACCACGAGTTGGCTTAAAATCGATTCCGAGACATGTACCGATACTGATTCTGATCATTTATTAATCGTGTTGTTAATTGTTGTTGTTGTTGTTGGTCGTATGTGTACGGCTTTGGAGACGATTTGTTGACACTTCTTTACAGTTCAGTCTGAACGTCTTCAAAGTGAGACTGAGCGAGGCTGAGGAAGTTTAAAGAGCCAGACCATCTTTCTTGATCAGTGACGAGGATCGGCGCCGTCAGTCCGATATCCGATAAAAATAACGTCAACATTGGACCCAATACTGATATAAGAACGGAGCAATCCCATCTGTAGTTCTTTTTGTTTTTTTGGTGTTTAAACAGTCCAACAATGTTCTTTTTTTTAAACTTTCTGTATATTTCAGGCTCTTAATGTTTCATTTAAAGCGCCTTCATGGTTTCTATAAGTGTAAAAACGTCCTTATAGTATTAGGACTGTTGTGATGTTGGTTTTCTCCCGACTTTACAAACGCTTAATATCATAAACTCCTCTCTGTAGTGTTCATAAAGTCACTTATAAGTAGTAGTTTGTTGATCTTGAGGTGTTTATGTCTCTATAACGTTCATATGTGAAAGCTGCTGAATCCATACTGTAAATATCCCGTACAGTGACTCCCTTATGGTCCTTTATTATATCTATTTAGAGATCATCTCTGTGTGGTTGCATAACTGTAATCTTGATGTGCTGATCCCACACTGACTCACTGTGTCTGCGAGCTCATTTTAGCATTATTTATAGCAGCGATTGTGCTTAATGGGGGGTGTATAACTGCAATCACAAGTCACTAGGTGTGTCTGAGGCTCCTATAGTGACCTGTTTGTGTTTGTGTTGCTCAACGGTGACTTTTGATGCCGCCGTTGGACTTCCTGCCGTGTCACTGTGGGATATTTGCGTCGGGTATACGTTGTTATTGTCAGGTATTGAAGCTAACCGAGCACACAGTGCGTTTCTTCCGCTCCACAAGGCGGGTAGGGCGAGTTATCGGCCTCCTCGTTCGGCCTCCTGCTCGGCTGGCTCTCTCTCTCTCTCAGGTGTGTCTACCTGTGGGACTGGCTGTCAGCTCGCTCACTCGCTCTGCCTGCTCTGTGCATCCCCAGGTGGGCGGGGCCAATGAGTGTCACAGGCTGTTTGAATCAACACAAACACACCTGACACCCGGCAGCAGCTGCTGAAGAGGGCGTTGACGTTTTGAATTCTTTTTTTTTTGTCTACCTGTGTCGGAGTCCGATGGTTGTCTGGGATGTGTTGTGTAATACTTGATTGACAGTTACGCAAGATAAATCGCTGTTTTGACATTTGATTCTGCATCTCTACAGCAGAAATATCAACATATTTTTAATGAAGCATGAACAGAATTTGAATAATTAAACGGGAAGTTGTCCAAAATAAAAATAATTATCAACCATGTCCTTTTCATTTGAGCGGTTTGAGCTTTTCTTTAGAAGAAAAATGTCAAAAATGAGCCTTAAATGTGAATATTTTGTAGTTTTCTTTCCTCCTGTATGACAACAAATACTTGAGGACAGTAACTTGGGCTTTGGTAAATGTAAATCCACATTTTTTCACCAACTTCTGTCATTTCTTTAGATCAGTATGACTGATCCATGGAGAAAAAATAGACAGATAGTTCTTTGAGGTTTCTTTCTGTGACTAGTAGTAGTAACTTTAAACTTGTAAAATCAGGATGAATACCAACTTTTCTTTGACTTTCCCCTCCAATATTAAGATGTTTTAGCCTCTTTTAGCTCTTTGTTTTGGTTTTTACGCCACACAACTTCCCTATTTTATTACAGTCTCCTGGTTTTCATCAGTTGGAAGATGATTTAATAGAGAACGCTCTGATTATCTTTGTCAGCATCATAAAGAAGACAAGACACAGTTAGCCATTAGCTGGCTAACCTAGCATAGCATTTGTAAGACAGACTTGTTATTGAGAGACCAAAACTTTGCTAAAATGAGAACATATATTGGCCCTTTGTTAATCAGATACCTGGAAACCCAAACCCAGTTCTCTCGTTGATTGAAGGAATTGGAATTGGATGTATTAACTAGCTATGTAGCCTAGCAGCCTTATGCTACATCAAACATTTCCTTAATCTGGCTTGTTGTAGACTACTGTTCTGTTTTGGTTTGGACCCATTGAAGGAGCCAAATGTTTTTCTTGAGAGCATGAGAGCAAACACTGGACTTAAATTAATCAAATGTCCAGAAACAAAACTCCAAATGGATGCTAATGCTGCTGTGTGTTAGCTACATGTGTAAATACTATAAAGCCGGTCATCGACGTCAGGGCTGGCGGGGAATCATGGGAGTGATTCTCTCTGCTTTACACAATAATACCAGTTAGTGAATGTCTCTGACTTGAAGTTGTAATTGTTGACCATTACAACTTGGTAATTTAGCTAAATTACAAGACAGAAAACATCAGATAGAGATTTGTACGTCATTTGTACTTTGGAGCCGTGAATCACCAGGACGACGCCTCCGGTTTTTTTCTGTCTCTTATCAATGAATGACACCGTGCTGTTGTGAAATCTCAGCACATGAGGGAATGTTTCAAAGAGAGCAGACCACCAAACTCCCAACAGCTGACGACTCGTGTTTGTTACTGTCCCATCACACATGCTAATCTCTGGATTTCACATCTTCTTCCAATAAAATATTACATAACAGAGAAGAATGAGCTCTATGTAATCTTGAAAATGTGTTGGTATTAAGTTTCCCAGCCTGTTTTATGGATAAATATGTTTGTTGTTCGGCTGTAACACATGCGGCCTCAGGCACTCCTGTCTTTGTAAGAAGTCTTTTCAGAGTTTTCCACTGCTAAATATATCGGCTCTGACTCGCCTCGGCTGAAACAAAGAACACCTTCACCAGTCTCATAAGGTTTGAAACACTTTTCACCCATTCTTAAGAACTTGGACGAATCATATCCCACCAGCAGGACACTTTATTATCACTCATTAACACACTTATTCCATTTGTTATTGATTGTCAGTGACATCATGGTCGGCTACAGGAAACCAATTTAAAGGTTTGTATTTGTGGGGGGACTTTTAATGCTTTTATCCAGAGATAAGACAGTGGATAGAGTCAGAAATCAGGGAGAGAGAGAAGGGGGAATGACATGCAGGAAAGGAGCCACAGGTCGGATTCGAACCTTGGCCGCCCGCTTGGAGGACTAGACTTTGTACATGGGGTGCACGCACTAATCACTAAGCTACCGGCACCCCAAGGAAACCAATTTGATTGATGCTTCTCTGATGTTACTTTTGGTTGGTTGAATTGGAGCGCGACCGATTTATCGGCCAGACGATTTATCGGCCGATATTAGCATATCCAGTGACCATCGATATCGGCTAACTTCCTACTTTTCTAACATTTTCTAGTTCCAGCCTCTTAAACGTGAGGATTTGTGTCTTTTATTATGAGCTTATTTTGGTTCTGAAATGTGGGTTAGGGTTAGACTCTGGGAAATCATTCTTTATTTCAAAGACTAAATGACGACTATATGGATGGTAAACACTCCCTTGTTGGATACATGATAAAAGCCCTTTTCAGACTGATATATTCACCAAAGTGCCGTAACTAGGCTCAGCAGTTATCACGTCTTTCTACATCCATATGGACGACGGTAAATGTTGGTGTCCCAGCCTGTGAATTCACGTTGTATTTCAGCGTTAATGAAGCACGGCCCAGTGAGAGCTCCACATACGGCAGCGAGGGGATCCCTTCATCCCCCCCCCATTACACCAT